ATTTCTCTATTCTCATTTTGTAGGGTGCATGCTTATTTTTATTTTATAGATATTTTATTACTTTCATTGAGACTAACATTCTACTCCTCCCCACCCCCCGCCCCCCATTTTCAATGTATTTAGCTTACTGTTTTACATTCTGGATGATACTTCACCATCCTGCAACTCTGATATTTTGTTTTCCACTTCAGTTATCTCATTTTTAATCTCCAGTTTGTTTTAAAATTTGTTTTTCCTTTGGCTCATCTCTATTTCCTCCAAGCTCCATTTTGTTGTTAATCTTGCTCTTTCATAGTAAGAAACTTTCTCAAATGTACAGTCATTTTTTCACTGTTCACTAGTAGATAAGAATGCTTAAAGATTGTACATATACACACACACACTATAGATCTATCTTGCTTAAAAACAAATATGCAAATTCTTAAGTAAAATATTAGTGAATTAAATACATAGATTATTTTATTATTTTTAAAAATACATCAGGATGAAATGGGATTAATTCCAGAAATGCGAGAATGGGTTGATACTATTTTAACATTAATATTCTCTACGGAGGAAAATCATACGATAGTTGCAGAAAAGTCACTGAATAAATGTCAACACCTATTTATGTAAAAAAAGAACTTAATAAAATTAAAACTAATGAAGATGTCCTTACTCTAATTAATGATATACATATATATGTGTGATGTAGTTATATAAAATAGTATTATAGTCAATGGAGAACCACTAGGGCCTTTCCACTAAAGTCAGGAACAAGACAAGGATATCTACGCCCATTGTCATTTAACATTGTATTGGAAGTTTAATTACCAAAGCAAATTAAACTAGAAAAAGCATTACAGGCATCTCTGAGCAACTGAGGACCCCCAAAACATAATATGAAAGTCTATTTTGAACATATTCACCATTAATTATTAAAAACACACGTCATGTTCTAGCAATTGTATAAATGGGGCATTGCATTCCTGAGTGCGTATGTGCATCCGTGAGATAGGCCGCGAAGAGGTAGACACAGCTGGTTTTCACAAGCCTCACACATAGTTGTAGCTGTTGGTATCACAGCTCCCGGCTTGGACAGTGATCACTATCAGTGAGGCGTAAAGGTGGGAAGGGAAGGACCCCGTCTCGTGCCCACAGCACACACACATCCTGTTTCCTGTTAGATTTGTGGCTTGGCAATTCTTTGAAGAGTCTTTCTTTGTTCATGAGCCGGCCCCTCAGAGTAGCTTCTGGTTAAAAGGATGGCTTCCCTTGACCCCGAGGTCTCCTCTTTCAGAGTTGCACTTCGGGCCAAGGAGATGAGTTACTTCTTCCGAGTATTTAAAGCTATGTTTCAGCTTGGACGCGCACACTGGTTTTGCCAGTGTTCCCGCTTCGGTCGACCATGTTGACAGCTGCAGGGAAGCTCCTCCTTCTGTGCCCTGAGGTAGTCCTAGTAACCCGATCATTTAGCAGCAATATAGGGCGAACTCCTGGGCCGTGTCAGCGTCAAACTCCGTGTGTCTTGGGCGCATTGGTTCTTAGCTGGTGGGGTGAGGAGTGCTAAGGGTTAGAGGGAGTGGGAGTGAAGGAGGGAACTGTAACTCTGGGCTGGGCTGACTGCTAGGGGGCTAACAATATACAGGATGCAGATAAGGCCTCGCCTAGTCACAAGATTCTTTGTTCTTAGTTTTGGCTCCCAACAGAGTATTTAAAGCTATGTTTCAGCTTGGACTCGGACACTGGTTTTGCCAGTGTTCCCGCTTCAGTCGACCATGTTGACAGCTGCAGGGAAGCTCCTCCTACTGTGCCCTGAGGTAGTCCTAGTAACCCGACCATTTAGCAGCAATATAGGGCGAACTCCTGGGCAGTGTCAGCGTCAAACTCCGTGTGTCTTGACAGATGTCACAGTGCGCATGCTCCAGTCAAGTGCGCACTTTCATCCGGTGGAGGTCTTGAGTGCTTTTCCCCCTCCATCCTTACTTTACAGCCAGGAAGACAGCCTGAGGGTTCTCTGAGCTCTCATTTCCTCCTCTAAACCAGTCCTACGCAGCCCTACTTCCTCTCCACAAGACTCTGTATGAGGTGACACCCTGGAAAGTGCCACAGCCTCCAAAAACTTACCTCAAGTCTTGTTGTCCAACAAGCAGTTTTAAAGAGAGGAGACAGTACACCTTTTTGCCCTAGCCTTGTCACACTAACTAGTTATGCGACCTGAGTCAAGTCCCTGGAGTTAACCAAATCTCAGGTTCCTGAGTTTGGAATATGTAGACTATAAGGTCTCTCTCTGCTTTATGAGAGTCTAACTCTAATAAATGCTTCCCGTACATAATAGACTTATGAGGTATTTCTTTATACATCTTGGAGAGTTGATTATTCACTGATTCTCTGAAATGGATGCCACAATTTAAGGACATGTGAAATCATAGAAGAGTATGATGTCATTCTATCAATAAAAATTATTTATCGGTCTTAGTTGGAAATGTTTTCGCTTAAATTAAAAAACACACACGTTGTTACCAAACTCAAGGTGTTCATTTTGCCTGCACATATCAATGGCCAAAAGAGACACAGACTGTTTACAGCAAAGAAAGTAGAGGTTTATTTAAAGAAATGGCACCAAGCCCATAGGTGAGCTAGCACTCAAAGACCTGGCTCCCTGATGGCCCCAAGGGGATAGGTTATATAGAAGAAAACTCATTAGTAGCTAAGGGAGTTGGGGTCATGAGCTCTACTGATTTGCGGGGGCTAGGGTAGGAGACAGTTGATCATTGCATCAGGTACTGATGTCAGTCATGGCCCCGTTTTATTGGGTTTCAACGGGAAACTGGTAGGGTCATCCGCCTTCATGGGTGTGGAGCTGCAAGATGTTATCTTTAGTTTGGCCTTAACTCTGTTTCTGTGGTGAACAGACCTGAGGCTTTGTTCCTAAGACTGTTTGATGCTGACCTAAAGGCGAGACAGTTGATCATTGCATCAGGTACTGATGTCAGTCATGGCCCCGTTTTATTGGGTTTCAACGGGAAACTGGTAGGGTCATCCGCCTTCATGGGTGTGGAGCTGCAAGATGTTATCTTTAGTTTGGCCTTAACTCTGTTTCTGTGGTGAACAGACCTGAGGCTTTGTTCCTAAGACTGTTTGATGCTGACCTAAGGCATAATGATTAAGGGAGCGTCCTGCAGTACGCAGAAGGATAGGAAAGAAAAGACACAAGTGAGCCCAAGACAGGTTTAAATCAAGAAGAAAGAGAAGAGAAAAAGTCATTTTAAAGAAGTAACGATTTGCATGGTTACAACATTAATTAACCATCATTTGAAGACCTACTACTTGTGCTGAGTATTGAGCGGCCTTGTGAGAAAGGAAAGAGAATTCTTTTGCTTCTGGATGGGAGATAAAGAAGATAGACACAAAGTGATTTGACCTTTAAAAAAAGATAAATATAGGAGCTCCTTTGGAATGACCCATATCTTATTAAAACAGGTGGGATCTACATTGAGAATGAGGATTGGAATCTTAAAATTAAACAGAAGTCAAGACATTTCAAAAATAAAGACACTAGACGAATGATTCACTAAGTAATTTAAAGCATATATTTAATGTACAGATTTAACATTTAATTTAAAATATATTTAATATATTTTAGAGCATACATAATAAAAGAGACAGACATAATCATTCTCTGTATTAGAGACCATGATGATGATAATAAAATTTCTCCTGATCACATATAAAACATGTTAATAATTCAATTTTTACTTTTTTACACATCTAACAAGCACACAAAAAAACTCTACAATATTAAATTACTTTTTTACACTGAAAATCTAATGAAATATTATTATTCTTTAATTTTCAGCAATATCTACTGCAGCTGTTTTAAACATTCATGCTGCTCACATATGTTCTAAGCAGCCTTCCAGACTTACCCGCCTCCGTCCTTTCTTTTAAGGCTGTTTGTCACTCATTCATTAATTATCCTGGACAACCATTACTGCTGAGGACACCAAGACAGCCCAGCCTGCTGGGTTCACTTTAGGGAGACAAATAAATGTATGCCTTTCGGCATCAAAAGTTATACATGTCCAATGAAGAAATATCTTTTGCCCTACTGATATGCTTCTCTATATACACAAATGTCCTCAAGTCAGTCTGCTTTCCTTTCCAGATTTGTTCTTTTCTGCTTTCTGGCTTCTGTTTTAGTCCACTACTGGAACAAAAAAAATGATCTAAGTAATAACAGTAACAATAATAGTAATAGCAACACAGAATTCTAAGTCCATGCCAAGAACTGTCATAAGCACTTTATTTATTCATTTAGTCCCCTTGTAAAGTAGGAATAATTATTATAAATTGTAATTTTACAGATCAGGGAACTGAGGCACAGATCAATCAGGAAAGGTTCCAGGGGTCACAAGAGTCAGAAACCCAGAATTTGAGCTCAAGCATCTTGTTTGTGTAGCTCATATACTAAACAGCTATACCATGTGCTTCCTCCACCCTGAAGGCATTTTAAATTTCTAATTTTAGAAAATTATGCAAGTAGCCATCATTTTTTGTTGCATAATGGCTTATATGGTCCGGCACCCATCCTGTATATAAACATTTATGTAAAATCAACAAATGTTTTCAACCACTTTTGAAAGAGCCAGAGAATTTTTGAATTAAACTTCTTGTCTCTCAGGAAAGATAAAAAGTTGTCTTGGGTTCCTTCCAAGAAGTTTCCACAAATAGACCCAATTAAACAAGTACTAGTTTAGTGCCTTTGTGGGGTCCCTAGAACCACGGGCCTGCCACTGAGGCCAGGACACATTAGACATCCTCAGGCCTGCGCCCTGTCACAGCAGGCTCACACCTTGCTCCCATGATCTGCACGCAGCCCTGCCAGCTCTCCTTCTCATCCCCAGGCACTCCATGAGGTGTTTAGGGGTAGGTAGCTATTGTGGGGGTGTGAAAGCACCATTCCAATTTCTATGTCACCTACTGACTCATAGAAAATGCCACTTCATAAATTTAAAATCCTTTAGTGCAATGTTAACATTAAAAACTCTTAAAGATGCGCCCTTTTTGTAAAGAGGAGGTTATTTTCCATCATTTGCAGCCCCAGTGTCCATTTATGGGAGAGGGGGAAACCGGGAATCCATTTCTTTTGAATTCCAAGGTCTTTTGGGAGCCCACAATGACAGCTCAAGGTTAGTCTTATCCCTGGCAATCTGATGACAAGTTTCATCTTCAAACTGTGAGTCAGATTTTTATAGAGTTGAGTCCAATATTTTGAGTCATGCCCTTTGTTAGAAACAGGCTCCTCCACTCAATCCCGAAAATGTCATGAGTTCTTTCTTGTATTCAGCTGCTCTGAAGATCAGGACCGGGAAAGCAAGGCAAGACTTCTAATTCATCTCTGCATGGCCTGACTGTTTTTGCAGGCATCAGATAAAGAAGATTTTTCCAGAACCTTGAGTTATAAGACAGAGATTTATCAGCTTTCCACTTCAGAACTCTGTGAGATTTCAAAAGCGTTAGTGATTGGGGCAAGAATGTGAAGTCACCAACTGGTGTAAATTCAATTAAGATTATTTTCATTTTCCTCTCCACGAGTGCTTCATGGAGTCCACTTTCAAGTTCATACCTGACTTCATTAGACATGTAACTTTTACTTAGGACAATGATTAGTCTTCGGCTTTTCTTAATCAACGAATGGATTTCATCAACAACAGCTAAAAATGTAAGATGTGAAATATTAATTTAAGAGAACTGAAAGGGTGAGCATGAGAAAAAATCATTTTGCACAGCCTAATTTTGCATTATTCAAATCTTAACATCACTAATGACTTTAGGAGAAACCATTTATTCTTAATTCTATATGCCTACTGAAAGCAATTAGGTAACAATAATAATGATTACTTACTTAGCACTTACTCTATGCCATACTCGCCTCAATTTTTTATGTATATTAACTCATCTAATCATCATATCAACCTTCTGAAGTACTGTTATCACCCCCATTTTATAGATGAGAAAACCAAAGCACAGAAGGGTTAAATAACTTGCCCAGAGTCACATAGCTAGTAAATGATGGAACCAGAATCTGAACCCAGGTGGTCTGGGTCTGGAGTACTTATTTCTAATACACTATCTTCCCTCTCTACATGCATGGAGGTGCATGCTAAAATCAGAATTTGAAAACAAACAAAAAAAACTGCCATTATTTTAGACCAGAAATTGACAAACATTTTCTGTAAAGGGCCCAATGGTATAAGTTTTGGCTTTGCAGATCATAACCATCTTTGTCACAATGACTACTCTCTGCTATTATAGCTTAAAAAGCAGCCACAGACAACACAGAGCAAGTGCTTGTGGCTGTGTTTCAATAAGGGTGGCAGGTTTATAGTAACCCATGGGTGGTAGATTGTCAACCTCTGTTCTAGACCTCTAGCCCTTTTTAAATAGAATTTGAACTAAGAGTAATTATAATTGAATACAAACATTCTTTATTTTTATTTTAGAAATAAGAAGAAATCTATTTTCAAAATAAGTCCTGGAAAATAATGGTAAAATAATAAGGTTGACATAAAGTCAACAGTAGGCAATGCCTTCTAGGTTCTTACACAAAGGACTGACACAAAAATATCACAGTGTTGTATGCATTCAACAATTTGGCATATGACTCCTTTGAGAAGTTATTTATAATTAAGCAATAATATATTTCCTCTTCCTAATTAGTAATATAGGAGAGGAAAAGCACAACCATTTCTTATTTACTACCATATCTTTAATGCCCAGCTCAGAATTTGGCATGAGTATGGCACTCGGCAAACGCTGGGTGAATGAATGATGATGGTGATAACGAATACATTTGTGTTGCATTCATAATGCATCAGCACCCAAAACATTTTTCGACCCCAGATTTCAAACGTTTGCTTTGGAAAACTTCAGAGAAAACATGGAAATGCTACTAAATTTCTTTGATTCTAACTCTACTAAGCTTCGAGATACGTGTTATGGCTATTTGTATTCATATATTAATTTAAAATTTGAATTCATAACTAAACTATGATGTGAACCACCCATCTCTTTTTACTTGTCCTTTCTCAGCTCTCCTATTTTTTACTTTAATTTTCTCACCAATGTCAATGCATTAGAAAACAAGCATTTTCTGATAAAAATTAATCTGTGTTTATAGTCCAAAGGACCATGTATTAAATTAGGAGCTGGTTTTGCTGTACAAAGTATTATGAAAAGAGGTATTCTTAATTACTGTGAGACATTCTAAATAAATGTCTCATGAGAATGCCAATTCCTGACCTGGTTCTGAAAATGTAATGTTTGCTCCCTTTCCCCAAATTTCAGGGAATTGTGAAGCATAGTGAACCAACAGGGTCCTAGAGAGGCCATTACTAGAATCATCATGGTTATCTTGTTTTCTCACTATTGGTAATATTGATTTAGCTGGTTATTTCCGGTTAGAGGACTATGTTCATTTGTTTGTTTTTTAAGTAAAACAGGACAGCTTTTGGGGAGGCTAAGCTATTCATCTTTTTAAAAGAAAGTATTGCCTACAAGAGACTCACTTCAGCTTAAAAGACACAGACTAAAAGGAAGGGGATAGAAAAAGATATTGCTTTGATGAACCTAGAAGGTATTTAAGTCAGACAGAGAAAGATAAACACTATATGATTTCACTTATATGCGGAATCTAAGGAATAAAAAGAACAAAGTAATCAAAAACAGACTCACAAATATAGTGGACAATTTGGTGATGGACAGAGGGGAGGGGGGATTGGGAGGCTGGGAGAATGGGGTGAAGGGTTAAAGAAGTACAAATTCATAGCTCTTGGATGGTCATAGGGATGGGGAGCATGGTAGAGGGAATGCAGTGAGCATTAATACGTTGGCTAGGTGGAGGGTCAGGGGAGGGAGGGAACAATTAGGGGGATCATTTTATGAACTATATAAATGTCTAACCAATGTACTGTATACTTGAAACTAATTAAAATAAATAAATTTTAAAAAAAGAAAGAAAGTATCTCCACTCGTTTTCTATCTGGCATTCCCTTTCTTACCTCCTCCAGGCACTACATCCCTTTCAAATATGCATAACTTATACCCAAAATGTTTCTCCAACACCCTGGGCAAGGTCTCCACAGCGAAGGTGTGCTCTTCTCCATTCTCAGGTCGGCATTCTTTTAGGTAAGACACAAAAGCATCGTATGTTTTTCCATCTAGGAGAGAAGATTCATTCTTTTAACTGGTATGTAAATAAAGTTTATTTAAGCTCAGATTTGAGTGAAAGTTATAAAAAACAAGAATGGAATCATTGAAGGAGAGAAGTTAAATATAGCATCCTCATGTCCACACTCATCAAACTGTATACATTAAACACATACAGTTCATTATCAATTAGACCTCACCAAGTTGTTAAAAAATAAATGTTTTTGATAGAAAACAAACTGAAAAATAAAACAAGAATATTTAAACTAGATGATTCCTAAGATCCCTCAAATATTCTTTGGTTCTATGATTCTTTTTTACACATTATTGTTTATCTCTGTTTTTTTAAGTTGTCAAAAACAAGGAATAAATTCATTTATTAATAAGACGAAAATACCATCTTCAAATCTAGTACACTAATCAAGCAACCAATTACCAAATGTTTGGTTTTTCTTAAGCATGTACGTTAAAACTCCCACTGTTTGACACCTCAGAGTGATAAGGAGAAATGTACATTATAGATCAGGGAACTAAAGGAATTTAAGATAGCAGAGGACCGAGGAGCCCAGATATGTCCTCATTCCAGCATTGGAAAGCAAGTCTCACCTTGGTTTATTTGACTTATACCATTTATTTTTACCACCATCCCAATGTTTACCCTCAAAAGGACCACTTGGAAAGCAATGATTAAAACAACGCTGAATGTTTACTCTGGAGACTGGGGGAAAACAACAGAGGCTATTGAAACAATATGCTATGGGAACACATGCTATGATATGTAAAAATATTATGTGATACAAGATGCCAGTGTGAAAACTTCCAGTCTATCGAAAGGTTTTTATTGGTGATAAGGTCTGTTCCTATTTTACTCCCGATTCAGATGACTAAAGGGACAAATTCAGAAGGAATGTGTTACCAAAACAACAAAGATCATTCTATTAACCAAGTAATTAAAAAATTAGATACATTTCACTCTTCTATCTTCATCCCATCTAGTCGAGAAGATAAAGCAGACAGAGGCAACCAAATGCAAAATTTACAAATATACATTACAGACACAAGACAGTGTGACACAAACAAAATTAACAAAGGAAATAATCTGGTCAGAGAATAAGGAGTGATCTTGGTATACATACTTTCTGAAAAAAAGAAATTTTGACTCAGATCCCGAATAATATAATAGATGCTAATTGGGAGGAAGAAGGGGAAAAGATAACAGAATGTTCTACCTCTTTCCCATGACAATTGGTTACAGGATAGAGGAGTTAGGTTTAAGCTTGGGTATATTATTAGGCTGAATGAATTTGCCACTGAGTTGGAGGCTAAATATTATTGAAACCTTTACTAAAATTGAATAGGATGAAACCATTCTAGGTCCATGTCCTTTGTGGTGCCATATCATTTATACTCAGCAGCCAAGCCCAATATCTTCACCATCATCCAGGCTCACAAAACAACACTTTCTGTTTCTGGCAAAATCTTCTTAAGTTCTACCTACAGCATTCTAGTTCATCAGTTCAAGTCAGAACTTGTATCGATTTAAAACAATTGCTTTGTAGAACTGCATGCATGTAAAAGATAGGGCATTTATGTTAAAGGTGCAGAATTAACACGCACATTAAAGATGAGAAAAGTTGGTAAAAATAGAGCTAGTTCTTAGTGTAATCAATAAGTTGTTCCCCTGGATAATTCTATTAGATTTCTGTTAAGTCCAGCTATTTATAAGTAAGAGCTAGTGCTTCCACTAGTATAGCTATTAGGTCAGTGATTAAAACTAAGATTTAAAAAAAGAAATAAGTACACTTTTCTAAAAGGTATATTTTTCTTATAATCAGAATGTAAATAATTGCAAGAAATTGGAAAGATAATGCAGAATTACAGTGTGATATACACGTGACCTAGTTTTACTCTTACCCACAGAAAGTTGGATCGACTATTGAGAAGCTTTCAAATTCTTTTTCTTTTTTTTTAAGTAATTCTCCTTCTTGGTTTAGCAAATCTGCTAATTTGTATTATAATTTATTTTAAACCCATGTAAAGAAAGGTTTGGTGGTTTCAATAGTTGACAAAGTGAAGTGCTCAAAATAAGGAATTTGAAAGTAACAATTGTATTTTTGGTTCTGCGTAAATGAAACCATCATGCAAATGGATATTTGGGACTACAAGGAGTCAGACTGGTGTGCTGAATGACCATGTTTTAAGTTAATTTTAGTTTTTTGTTTGTTTTGTTTTGTTTTCTCTTCCCAGTCCATCATAAACCAATCAATACTGAACACATTCATGGATATTGCAGCAATATCAAATTACTATAAAAGTTTGAATTTTTGTACTTGTATCTCCATTTCTGCCTTTCTCACAACTGATCGCTGACCACAGGCCACACTTTAAACAGAGCTGACTTAGAACACATCTCTAAATGTCTCTGTGCACCACCACAGTGAGAGCTAAAAAGTGTAAATTGAAAAAATTATCTGTGAATCAGGTCAAACACAACTGGAGAGTAGAAAAAAGAATCTTAGTGGAAAATCACAAAGAAAGATATTAGCAAATGCCCATTCTGAAATACATACTGGGCTATGCGAGTAGAGACCTGTTCATAAAAAATGTCAGAAAGAGGACCCCCTCCCCAGTTTGTTACAGCATCGCCCACCACACATGCAGGTTCAAAGAAAGTTAATTATCTTTGCTAATTTATTATTAGTAAGTCAAAAGTTATAAATGTGAATAATGACTCTATAAAAATCTCAAAGGAAAAATGTAAGAACTACTTTATAACTTGAGGTTAGAAAGGCCTTTTTCCTACGACCACAAATCCAGAAACCGTAAAAGAAAGGATAAATTTGAGTACATTACAGAATTTCCACCACTAGAAGCAAAGTCAAAAGACAAATTACAACTTGGAAACAATATCCACATTTCAAATATAGAAATATATTGTCTATCGTATTTGCATATGATGGACAATAGGCTAACCACCTTCAGAGTAAATTGTCCCTAGAAATAAACAAGAAATCCATGCCAACAACCCAATAGAAAAATAGGCAAAGGAATGGAAATGGATGAGTATTTTGAGCAAGGAAATACAAATGAACAAGTGTAAGGTTGTTCGTTCTTTTGCATAGAGAGTGAAATGCAAATGAAACTACACTGAGATAGAACTTTTTACCGATCAGATTGGCAAATATCCAAAAGGTTGTGGGTAAGGCTGTGGAAAAAGAGTTACTTCTGTCCTTTGAAAGTGATAGGTAGTATAGTAGTATGAAGGGCAAATTGGCAATATTTATCAAAACAACAACTCTATCTATGTTTCTTATTTCCAGCAAATCCACTTTGGAGCATTTTTTTTTTCAATTATACTGCATATGCACGAAATAATGACTGTACAAACCTATACATCACATCATTTCCGTAATAACAAAAAGTTGTAAACAACACAAATGTCCATCAAAAGGTGACAAAAAAAAAACAATGCCATTCACAGAAATAAAATACATTAGGGTTTTACTATAGAAATAAAACTCTAAAAAGTGAGAAACTTTAGAAATTAACATGGAGGGATATCCATATTAGTGTGCATAATACACCCAGATTTGTTTTTTAAATAGAAGTGGAATAAAATTCTACATTCATATTTGTTTGGATGTACTATCAATGATGGATGAGGTGAGAAACAGACATGGGACAGGCTGGAAGGGATACTTTCTACTGTATAATTTCTTAGATTCTCTTTGTTTCGATTCTTAAGACTTTTTGTATTTTGAATGATGTATATCCCACACACACGCACACATAAACAAAAGCAAGTACAATGGATTAAATTGATTTTATAATTCAGTAATTATATTGAAACTTGAGGACTTCTAGTCACTTTTCAAAAAAAGAGGAGAATTGAGACATAGTGTCACCGGGATAGAAATAGCAGTAAGTAAAAATTAGCAGATCTGGAGAATGAGAACCCAAGTCATTTGGCATCTAGTTCAGGGTTCCTTCAGAAACATCATACAATCTCTTTTGTCAAAATAATAAATCATAATACAATTCAATTCAATTCAAATGATCTTTATTGAGTGTGGCACATCGTATAAGGTGCACAGATGATGTGTGAACAATGACATTGTGATGTACAATCCTTGAGCTCACAGGATATTTAGGAGAATATGGCATACATGCAAAAAACAATTAGAGAACAATTTTTGGCAACATATGAGTAAGCACAAGAAAAGATGGCACAGACAACATTCATAATGGATGGTACGGTCAGAGCAATTTATCCTATGGAAAACCTACTACACATGAAGTCAATAACAATCAAAATAAGATGAAGATTAATGTTTCTTTATTATGTTTCTTAATAAAACCATAGGATAAGAAATTCCAGGATTATGATATTTGTTACCTGTTAACGTTTCGTCTCTTCTCGTGAAATGTCTATAAAATAGAGCCAAGTCCACTCTATAAATAATACCCACAATCACTAGGCAGACGACTACCACCAAGATCAAAACAGCTATGATCATTCCTCTAGTGAAGATGTGGCCTGGGATATCAACCAGATCTTCTACAAAGAAAAAGAAAATGGAAATAATTAATCAAAGAAATTTTACCAGCGTCTTCCACAATCATGTTATGATTGTCAGTTTTTACCATTAATGCTAACCCAGCTGTCTACCCAACACGTTCCACTCCCTTTTTTAAAGAATGAAAATGAGCACAAGGATATAACCGAAAGCATTGTAACGTAGTTTATGCCTACCTATGGAAGTCATGGATCTAGGATTATAAAATGTGAGAGTGAGATATAGAGAGACCTAAACACAAATCTCAGCTATCGGGTTGTGAACATAAATGGAGGTGTGTAGTTTCGAGAAAGCCAGCGAAGAACTTTGTGGAGTCCCAGTCTGTCTCTATCACTTATTTTGCGTCCTAGGAAATGTTGCTGATACCCTTAACGCTTAGTATCTTAATCTGTAATATGAAGCAAATAATTTCTCTTTCACTTATAAGGTTGCTTTTGGGGGGAGAGATTAAATGAGATAGTGTGTACATAAGTAATTAACATAGCATCTGGCATACAGCTCTGAGAATTTTAGTTGTTTTTTTTTATAAATGTGCTATTTGGGAAAATATTTCATTTTTAGATTGATTCAGTTTCTGCTCATTATGGAGAAGATAAGATGATACAGATGAATAAAAAGGGTAAAACAATTTCTAACAACCATTCCACAATGTGGTAACAGCCACTGCTGGTCTGCTAGTATATTTCTTTTTGGGTTTTCCTCTTTCGCTAAAAGTACTGACTTAATTGGGATCATATGGTAATCACTCTTTATTGCTTAACATTACATTACGAGCGTTTCACTAGGTCTTTAAAATTATAATTCATAATGCCCTAATATTTAGATTGATTGCAATTTTTCATAAATATACATAGTGCTGCAATGAACATATCCAGAAACCTTTATTATTATTTCTGATTATTTTCCTAGAGTAGATTGTAATGGTATGGGATTTCTAGGTCAAAAACCATAAACATGCATAAAGCTCTTGCCATCTTAGCACAATTTTTAGTAATGATCTTTTCAGTAAAATTAACCATTAGGCTATAAGTACACAATCATAGTTGCTTAATAAGTGAAATCTGAATAAAGCCACATCCTGCATCTTTGAAAGGTCTGCCTATCCATGACTGTGCCACACAAATACATGCTCCACACTGCCATGCACACTCCTCCAGGGACAATGGTGGAGGAAACCCTGTACCCCAGATGACATTATGAGCACAGCAGAAGGAGAAATGATTAGGGTACCAACTTCTGTAGCAGGGACAGGACAGTCACACACTGATCTAAGAGGCGGCTGACGGCCAGCAGTAACCAAAATTCAAGTAAGGTAATGAATCAAGCCAAAATAACAGATTTGAAAGCCTCTCCCTCACAAATGCATGGACTGAGGCATGTATGTTCACACGAGGTGAGGGGACGCCTGTAATAATTCCTGTAGAAAGTAAAATCACAGAGTAAATTAATTTCAGAGTTAATCAGGTCTGAATTTTGACATTTTTACTTGTTGTTTGACATGGGGTGACTTTGTTCTCCTATAAAAGCTTGTTGTAAAGATCAGGTTGAATAATGGTAAGAGCTTAGCACAGAGCCTATCACATAACAAACATGTAAAGAATATTAGCTGTTATTATTAATGCATGTGGTAGACTGATAGCCTTAGAACAGAAGTTCTAAGTGAATTGCCAATGGTGACCAGAATATCTAGAGAAAGGGGCTTCTGGCCTTAGGTCCTCTACCCACGACTCCTTCTGTTTCTCACTAAAAACAAAACATAACAAACATTTTTATGCATTCTCGTTCTCTCTCTCTCTCTCTCTCTCTCTCTCTCTCTCTCTTTCGCTCTCCCTCCACACCCCCGCCCCCCATCTTAACCTTTTCTTACATATCCAGGGGTTGATGGCCCAGCTTAGGAATGAGTAGTGAAAGAGTAGTAACAACGGAAAGCATAGCTTTTTGGCCCCAGACACAGCCATTTCTAAGCAGCTACTGGGCCAATGGCTCTGGGTTGTATTGTTTGGTGGAGGATAGAGATGGATGACTCTGGAATGCTCCATCAGGTGGGCACTGAAAAATGTTAAGAGTCCACTGATCAGAGGCATAAACTGTCTATGTGCAAGCTCAGGGCCTGGCCCAAGGAAGGGAAGCCTCAGTTAATCTTTACTGAATGACCACGCCCAAGAGTCCCCTGTGCCCAGTGCCCAGCTAAGATAGGCTGGAGGCAGCAATTACTCCCGATATCATTGGCCTTGTCCTACACTGAGAGGCATACTTTCCTCCAGTTGTTTTGAGTGCGCTAAAGCTGTCCTACCTCCCCCACAACCCTCCCCCACCACCATATCCATCCCCAAGTTCTTCCTGCCTCCCTGCTTGGGGCCCCTGGTTTCTACATAAAATTAAAATATGATTGAAGACAAAAGAATGAACTTTGTGTTGTCACTCTCTGCTTGAAATCAGGGCACAGGGAGTTCCTACACAGGCTGAGCAGCAGTTCTGCCACTGAACACCTGTGACACTGGTGAATCCTTTCACCTCTCAGGAGCTTGGTTCCTGATCTGTAAAATGAGAAATTGACGAATGATCTTTGAGGAGTTTCTCAGCAGCAACATTCCAAGTTTCCACAGACTTCCGAAAATAAAAGTTTCTCACACCTTTTTTCAACAAGATAAAGCTTCTGGTGTCTATGCCTTCCTTGCCGGCCACAGTGCAATTATATGAAAAATTTAGATTTTTTTCATTAATATTATCAATCCTCAATATTTTTGAAGCCTGCCATTTGCCTTCTGAAGTCCTGTAAAAGAGGAACATAATTTAGCAATAGCCTTCGTTCATTGCCGGCAACATTATCTGACATGTGCAACTACTCAGAGGCAGAAGCTCTGCTGACTCATCAAATCTTCCCTTTCTGGTGGGAACTCTTAAAGTGTGGCCACAACAAATCTCCCACCTTCTTGGAAGCATCAGGGCCATCAGACAAAGCCCTTCTGAACCATCTGGAGACAGTGCTGTGAACTGCCCAGAATCGAAACGCCTAGAAGGTAATGATGCTAAGTTGAAACTATGAGAAAATATTCTCTCTCTATTATTTCTCCCTGTTTCTCCTCTTCAACAACTCAGTGTTCTTTCCACAGTGGTCACCACCTACTGTGACAAGACTGAGAATTGTCCAGCACAGACACAGATTTGTATCAAGTTTGTCCATGCAGTCTTAAAGATCACTTTTATCTTGTTGAGTATTTAAAATAAATTGAAAAATGACACTATTTTCAGACACCTTCAAGCCCATGAGAAATACTGATTAAGTTGTTTAGTGACTGTCAGAAAACGACTTGAGACAACTGTTGGCAGCATGTTCTCTTCCTCTTCTTAGAAGATTTAAGTTGTCCTGTCATTGAATGTGAGGTAAGTACTTATGACATCTGCTTCCCCATCAGTGACAAATTCTGATGGCACCGGGTCATCCAAGAGTTCCAGGTGCAGTCACTCAGCTGGCACCCCTAGCAGCAGGTGTGTCTAGCACCTGGGACATGGTACCATTGTAACCTCCAACTGTCTCAAATACATTTTAGAATATAATTCTGTACAGAAGTCACTAATACAGAAATATCAACTACTTAACATCACAAAAGGCCACCAAGGAGCCAAAACAGATGACATAGAAAGCTCTTGTATGCCCAACTGTGAAGAAAGACCTCCCCACTCAATTAGCTTAGCTTAAGATCCATTTTTAATAAGGTCGGTGTAAGTTGGTCTTCTATCCTTCCAGTAATTAACAAGAGAGCACCAGAAGGGGAAAATGCAGAAATGTAGACTTCTAGTGGGACTAGATGCTGAGGATAAGATACAATGGCCAGATGGATATGCAATTTGATTGAACCAAGCTTCACGGAGCAGTAGTCGCGTGCCTGCTCCTGGGTGAGCAGCCTGTAGATAAATGTCAGCAAGAACTGATAGCCACCAGCATGATGACAAAGAATTTTTTTTTAAGTGTGAAAAATGAAAAAAACCTCAAAAGTACAGCTAGGGTGACAGAAATCTTAAGATCGCTACTCACTAAACTTGAATGTATCAGTACACCAGTAATTACATAATGACCCAAAGTTGTTTGGAAACATTTAAGTGATCATAGGCTTAGCATTTTTTTTAAATAAGTCTGACCCTTCTCTAATGGAAGAATATAGGCAATTTAAGTAATAATATACATGTCATTTGGAATTTTTTGCACCAACACTTCTTCCTTAATATTTATACCTTAAATATTAAGGTATTGCTTTGTTTGCTTTTCCTACCTATTCTTACTATGTTTCTAATTTCCACGAATAGACTCTGACAGGAAAATACTGCAATAATTACAATAGTCAATGTCCACCCACAAATAGTGAATGTCACGGGGCAAGTGACTGGCAAATTTAATTAGTATTTTCATGAGACATAACTTATATCTGACAATCTCTGGAGACCCTCCCTTACTTGATAAAATCTCTCCATGTTCACCTTTAAGAAAGATAATGGCTGCAGTGAATGTTCTAAGAAGGAGCTACAAACTATCTCCAAAAGAGCAGGAGGCAGTATCTATGTCCGTGGATCTCTCACCCATTAAATTTCCAACACACACATGAAACTGTTCTCAAATGACAATTCTTTCTTTGTGATTTTCAGTATTTCTCAAGTTCCTTATAATAAATTATTTTTAACAATCAGAACTAAAAGAAAGGCATGTGTGTAAGGGCAGGACGTAGATCCGGACAGGTAGCAGGAGACAGCCTGCCTTTGGCCTTGGCTGCACCCAGGTCCCGATAGGCACAGGTACTCTGGAGTCACTCTGCACTCCAGACTCCTAGCTAGTTTCACAGTGACATGTGGGCAACACAGCTAGGGGCATCTACTGCACATAAAGGGCCCAAATTAATTCATGAATGCCACACTCTCCCAACTTGGTCTTTTCTCTGGCATATTAGTGAAAATAAAGCACTTAATACAATTTTCAAAATCCAAAAACTGTGCCCTAAGTTACCACTCTTGTACCAGATGCTTGAGTAAAATCCCCAACCCCATCAGAACCTGACTGACCAAAAGCTAATTTTGCAAGGCGATAATGCCTCATTGACCTTCTTTCTATAGTTTAGATCTCAGCAATGGATCTCTGCATAACCCATCAACCTAGAGCATGGAATTGTAATTATAAAATACGTAAATTATAATTTACACTTATCCCAAACATCCTATTAGCTATTCAGGAGTCTGGAGTTTTTTTATACTAGGTATGTACGATATATTATGATTTTTACATATCACGATATATATCATGTATCACATCTACATACTTAATTCTTCTTTCTTCCTCTTCATGCACATTAGGATCTTTTCCATTTTTTTTCCAGACGTTCCAATAAAGCACATCCTTTTCATTCAACAAGGCAGAGCAGTTGAGCTGTACATCTTT